TGAGCCCTGGGGAAACTCTTGCCCCATTATGGATTCTCTTGCAAAGGGCAGGATGCTTTGTGTACACGTTGCATTAAAGTGTTTGTGTTTCTTTGATATAATTGTGTATGCAGGGGCTTAAAAGGTGCATGTTGCTCTGCTGCTGCAGTGCACTTCCTCCTGTCACCAGCAAATTAAAAATAAACCTCTCGTGAAAACGGTGGACGCACGACAAGTCGTATTTAAGCTCTGAGGCGATGGTGGTCACATGCTGTTCTGATGTCGTGCGATCTTTGATTTTCCTGTTCGACCGCTCGCACAGACGTGCGTTGGCATGTGTGACAGGGCTTGTGTGTCGGTAATAAATTGTAATAAACTGTTGCAATCCAGAAATGTTGAGCAGATAAGCAGAGTGTTTGCTGCATGCATGTTCAAACCTAAATGCACCAGTAGCTGTGCTGCGATGAAGTGCAGCACATGCATGTCTTTTTTTCTTCTTTCCGTGGAGGTTACCTTGGTCTCTTCTGCCTCGTTCACTCCATCGATCGCTCTCTCTCTCCTCCCCTGTTCTTTCCTCCCCCATCTCCCCCGTGTCACCCCTCCTCCCTCCTCCCTTCATTCTCTGAATTTATCCTTTGAAGTCATCTGTGAAGCTCCTCTCTGCTCTCCCTCAGGAGTTCCCTTCCTACGCTCAAAGTGTCTCAAGAGTTTCTACAAAGCTGGACTTTGCTGAAATCGTTTACATGCGTTTTGCTGACACTTTGATAGTTTGTCACAGGGCAGAGGAGAATCTTTGACATTTCCACATTTTATAGAGTTACAAAGCGTCCTCTGGGTCATTTTCCTCTCCAGCATGTGGCGAGAAGGGGGGGAGAGAATCTAGACGTCACACTTTTCTCTAATGCGGCTCTACCTCTTTCTTACAGATTGCTGTGACGTTCTGAGTGAAGATGGCATTATTTCAGAACAACTTCTGGGTAAGTGTCTTGAAAACCTCTTTAAATGGAGTAACGCTGCAGGGCACGTGCAAAGATCTCTAACTGAACTTGGTCACCTGTGGTAGCTGATCACAGCTATGACTGACCCAGCTTCTCATTCATATTCTCCACAGACAGTCGTGCCTCTCTGTTGTGCATCAGGTACAAACAGGAAGTGCTTGTTACCAATAGATACCAGTCTTTTATTTAGATCTCAGCTTTCAAGCAGTCTCATTTAAATTCTGCTTCTAGGCTGAGATGATGGTGATGAATGGCTTTTAACTCGCAGTTACTAGTTATTATGTTAAGACTTTATTTATTTAAAATAACTGTTATGTGGCAGATGCTGTTGATGGGCATCAGTGATTTTTGGCAACTTGGTTTGAGGAAACTTATTTTATTTAAAAAACACATTTTTCTGGTGAATGTCAGAGATGGCAAGTTGAATGACTCTCCCTGTCACTTCTTTTCATCTGTTCTGCATTTCCTTTTATTTTTGGCTGGTTTATAAAGAAAAATAAAAGCTTTTCAAACCCACTTTAAAAAAAAAAAAATTGGTATAAATATGTTTGTCCCAGTCCTGGCGATTTATCTGTTGGTGGAAAATCAAAATCCAAAATCTTTGGTGGGAACCTGAATATTTTTATATGCAAAAAAAATGCTGCAAAAGGAAAAGTCCAGTTATGTTATTTCCCTTCAGTCTTCACATTTCACCCGTGTCTGTCTTTGCACACAGAACTTGACGTGCAGGCGTCTGTGGACACGTCTCTCTTCAGATAACAAGCGGCAAAAGTCGCCCACAGACGTGCTCCCGTGCAGTCCTCCAAAATCTAGGTCTTGTGTCTGTTTGCGAACCACAACTGTGCGAACACAAAAACTCAAACGCTTCGTTTAACAGATTCCCCGAGCCGGCGCCAGGTGTTTACAGCGTCTCGCCTTGTGTGTTCACCGCCACTAACATCATGTCATGAATCATCCTCTAATATGACATGTAAGAGGAAAAAACAGGGTAATTAAAAGCCTGACAGCGAAAGGATTCATAAGCTCGGGTTAGATTACACTCGGTTTTGCAAGTATTAAAAAACTAGTATGACTAATTATGGCATTAATTGGCTTAATTTCTCCGTGAATAACGGCCTCATTAGTAGTCTTACACCAATGTACGAAGCACAGGAGTGAAAGTCTCCCACATGCCTCTGTGACTTTGTCAGCTGACAGCTTTTTCCTTCTCTCTTTGTCCTCCTCTTTGCTTCTGTCCCAGCCTACCTAGTACATCTATTTCAGGTGTGCCCTAGTTTTTGGCCTAACAGACAGAAAAGTTTTGCACATTGAACTAATATTTCCAGACTTTCAATTAAGGTGCAGAAGACACAGTTTATAACAGAGACTCTCGAAGTTTAGTTCATTGCGGTTTAGGGCCAGAAAAGAAAAATGACCCATCTAAAGCCACTAATTTATAGCTCCAGAGAACCTGCACGGACGGGGGAGTCCAGTAGTACAGTTAACTGTAGCCACACCCCTTATTTCCCATCATGCCTCATTTCCCGTCACTGATTCTTCAGAGGAAGCTGGTTTTTGCTGATGGTTGGAATCTCTGTGCCGTCACACCACCCATATTTGGAAACTGTATATTGGTATTAAACAGTATTTTATTTTTGCATGCAGCCTTATTACCGAGGGCCTCCTGAGGCAGTTTGAGAACCTCGTCATTGAACTTCACCCCATGATGATTAGGGATGGGTATTGAAACCCGGTTCTTGTTGAGAACCGGTTCCCACTGTTTCAGTTCCTTGGAATTGTTTGCCATTTTTGCAAACGATTCCCTTATCGATTCCAGTCGCCCCGAATGACGTCACCACGCTGCGGAGCGTCATTTACCTGGCAGGAAACACGGCGGCTCAAACGCTCAAAAGTTTGGTTTTACTTTACGAGAACGGATGACAACAGGACAACTTGCAGTACTTGCAAAGTAGCTATTTCATTTAAGGGAGGAAACACTACGAACATGCAAAAGTATTTGCTCACAAACACGCGATGACCTTAAATGAATGTCGTGTTTTTAATTCCGCTCGACTCGTGAATCTCAGCCCAGCAGCAGCGGTAACGTTTGCACGTCCTGTCCCGTTAATGCGGCAGGTAAATAATCAACAACAGTGCATATTATGTTAGCGCGATCTGCCTTATTACAAAACCATTACTGTGCATTTAGTGACCATGATGAGAGAGACAGAGTCTGGCTCAGATGCTGGCAGCTCTCGCTGCAGTCTACCGGTAGCGTCTCCTTTCAGGCCAGGATAGACGAATGTCACCGAGCAGTGACTCAGTTTGTGGTCAAAGCCTTGCACCCGTTTGCCACAGCAGATGAATAAGTGAATGTGTTTAATTGTAGGCAGGGACATTACTGGATATTCTTGTGTAATTGCTACTGAATAATTTGTTATGCTTTGTTATTGCTACAGAAGAATATTTATTTTATTATTTTACATTTACATTTTGTTTTCCTGGAGACCCTGTGACACCCCATTGAAGAGCCGTAGGCTGGATCTCTTAAGATCTCATGTTGGGTTTGTAAGGCCATGTTACTCCTACATTTCTATCTTGTTCAAAGAGAAGATAAAAAACAAAGTTCTGAGCTGATCGACCTTAGTGTTCTCCTTTAAAAAAAAAGAATCGATAAAGAATCGAATCGTTAAACAGAATCGAAAATGGAATCGTGAAAATCTTATCAATACCCATCCCTACTGATGATTTATTGAACTTGAGCCCACTGTAAGCAGCTGTTATCACCTCTCCTGCTCATCTGTCCGTCTCTTACAGCTGTAGTGTTGCTTTGCTTTCGTGTTTTCTTTACTGGTGAATATGAGCTGTCGATTGTCTTTGTGTGTTTGTGCTGAACATAGAACTGCAGATTTACAGCCAGGCAAGTAGAAAAGCAAAATCTAAGGAACAAATGAGGTGACGTACTTGTGTGTCTTTACATATTTCCCATTCAGCCTGCTTTCAGAGCCAAATGGCTTTGAAATACAAACCACTCTCTAGTTAATTAGGCAGCACAGCCACTCGAGGACGAGCTACACACAGAGCCTCGGCTTGTTTGGCTCAAGAACATTCACAGCCACTCACAAAGCCTCCTCATAGCGCTCTGTCCTTTCCCATTAACTGAATGAAAGCTGTGCTTATGGTCCACAGGAGGAAGCGTACCGGCTGTAATTAAGTGCATCCTTAGCAAATTAAGGCGCTGCTAAGTCTTGGGAACAGAATGTGTTTCTCTGTAAGGATTCGTCACGCTCGATCGTTCCAGGAAACGTAATCACACTCAGCAATAATCATCGAGGTATATAGAATATAAAATATCTCTTCAGTATGCTTTGATTTAGTTTGCTGGCTCTCAGATGTCATCACTTTGCGAGTGTGCCAAAGGATTGAGACAGTTTTTATTCTCTTGGTTCTCCCTTTGCCTCAAAGGTAGAGAAGCTAAAATAGTTTATTTCAGTGGATGAACTGAGCGGCTCCACAAAGGCCCAGAATAAGGAAGATAAATAAGGATTACTTGGACCTGCGAATCATGCAGAGCTACTTCACTGGAGTCCAAAAATAAAACAAAATATGGAGCTTAAATTTTGGCAGAATACGTCGCCATTAAATCTTCCCAATTAAGAATTTCATATGGTTTGTTGTTCTTTCCTTTTGATCTAATTCAAAAAATTTAATATTTAACAAAGTATATTTTCTAATATGGATTAACTGAGTAAGCTTTACAGTTTGTTTGTTTTTTAAATGATGATGTAAAATATGGGCTATTGTCGTCACCCCGACAGGCAAGTTTGTGAGTTTGATATCTTAAAGATAAAAAGGTTTCAAATTGATCTCAAACAAGTTCAAATCGCAGTGACCTTGAAGGTTGCATATATTTTGTGCCTCTGCGCCTCACAGTCCTGACGCAGCACAAACTCAATCTAGTCTGTTCCCAGCTTATAAACGAAATATTACATTTGATTTGATGCCATCACCTACAAAGTTGCACCATTTAGCATCGTTTTACAGTCCTGATAAAAATTTTAAGACCACTTGGAAAAATGGCAAAAAGTCTTATTTTGCACGGTTGGATGTTAACAAGGTTCCAAGTGGAGCTTCAACAAGAAGAAACGGGAGAGAGACGAAACATTTCTTTGAGCATGCGATTCGTTGACGACAACGCTTAAACTGATACAGGCCGTTTTACAGCTGATCAACAGTTCAGGACCACACCTAAAAAACAAAAACGTTATTGTTGATCACTTCAAAAATTTGTTGCGGCATCCTTGATGCAAGTGTTTCCATGAGGTGAGAGGGAGCATTTCTCCAAGACGGCCGCATGAAGCGTCCATTTTTGTAACTTCCCCAAAGGTTCTCTGTTGGATTTAGATCAGAGATGCAGGATGGTCCAAAAGAGCGATGTTATTCTCCTGGAGGAAGTCCCTTGTGTACTGTAGCGTTGTCCTGTTAAAAACCCAGTGGTTACCACACAGACGAGGGCCCTCAGTCACGAGGGACGTTCTCTGCAACGTCTGGACACAGCCAGCGCCCGTTTGACGCTCCTGCACCTCCTGAGACTCCGTTGTTCACCTCACGGTGCACCTCAGCAGCGATGGCACGCTGCGAGAGACCCTGCTTATGCAGTTCAACAACACGACCATGTTCAAAAAGGTTTTTTGCCTTTGCCATCAGAGCATCATGACAGTGTAACGACCTGACAGAAAAGGACAATGGATCCACATTGTTGCACAGATTTGGCCTTTTAAAGGTCAACTGGTCCTAAACTGTTGATCAGCTGTAGATCAGCATGTTTCAGTTTAACAGTTGTTTTCAATAAATTTCTTCTTGCTGCATGTTGAAGCTCGACTTGGAACCTTGTTAAGATCCAACCATGCAAAGTAACATTTTTTGCCATTTTTGAACTGGTCTTAAACTTTTTATCAGGACTGTATTTTAGAAAATAGCCACATAATCTGAATTCATTA